AGGTATCTAATTTTCAGAGAAGAACCTGTGAAACATCTTTCCATTTACTTGTAACTAATTTGTCTTTTAGTGTAATTGATAATAAGAATGTCAAGTTTTTGTGTGATTAAATTTATTGTTATGTGAACTTATTGGCGACTGGTTACAAATTGCACATAAGATTAATATCATTTATAAATTAATGTTTTATTTGAATAAGAAACATTAATTATCACTATCTGTTCCCTCCTGTGCCATTCTACCACCATCACTGCAAGGACATAAGAAGGCTGAATATGATTGAGGGATATTTTTTCTATTTTTCTCTGTCTTTGATGGGACATCACGGCACAAAAAGAATTAATATCACTTTCTGGTATTTTTTTTTTTCTTTTTCAAGACTGGTACATTGATGGCTGATAAATTGTATAGCCAGATCTTTTGAAACTAATATAGTTTTGCAGAATGTGTCAGATACTAGTAATTTGATTCTACTCTTCTTTTTAATCAAATTATCTAATAGTTTATTTTATTTTAAAAAAGAGTTTTATTTATTAATTCAGTGGTTATTTGCTTTGTTTTCAATTTTGTTGATTCCTTTAATTTTTAGGATTTCTATTTTGGCATTTCATCAGGTTTTTAAAATTGATTAGTTTTCTAGTATTTTTAGTTGCATTCCCAATTCATTGATATATTCTCTCTCCTTCCTTCCTCCCCCCTCCTTTCTCTCTTTCTCTTAAAAAAAAAGGCATTTAGAGATATAAATTTCCCCCCAAAGACTGCTTTGGCTGCACCCTCCAAATTTTGGAATGTCATCCCATTGTTGTCATTATCTTTAATTAAATTATCTTTCATTTCTATTTTTTTGTTCTTTGACCCAACATTTCTTTAAGGTTAAGTTATTTAGTCTCCAGTTGATTTTTAATACTTTTTCCAGTGACTATTTAAAATAATTTGGTTGCATTTTTATCACTAAAGATACTTTTCTGCATTTGTTTGTGAGGTTTTTATGTCATACAATATGATTAGTTTCCATCAATAATTGCCAAAAGTCTGCCATATCTAATTTTTCTAAAATTATCTTCAGGTCTTTAACTTCTTTCTTATTTTAAAGACTTTTATGAACTAATGCAGAGTGAAGTAAGCAGAACTAGAAAACAAATTTATAATATAACAAATATTATAAGCATGAACAATTTTGAGGACTTTTTATAAACTGATGAAGAATGAAATGACCAGAACCAAGAAAACAAATTTGAAAGTTGTAAGAATTATGAACAATTTAGTGACCATTCATGATTCCAGAGGACCAAGGATGAAATAAGCTATCATTTTCAGAGAACTGATGAATTTGTAGATACAGATGAGGCATTTTTGTATATAGCCACTGTGGGATTTTTTTTGTTTGACTATGCCTATTTGTTACAAGAATTCTTTTTTTTAAGTGGGTGGGGAGTTGGAGGAAGCAAATAAATTTCTGTTATTTTTTTAAGTAGAGAGGTAGGGGGTTGCTACAAATGAGAAATGTTGCATGTCCTTTCAGACAAGGTTATTGCATTATTAGAGACCCTCCTATAAAATGGAAGTAATCTGAAAATGTTTGTAATGTAAAAATAAAACAAATCAGTAAAATTAAAAAAAAAATGGAATCTGTCAGAGCTTTTGCCCTGTTGGCATTGCCATTCAGCACCTGAATAATATTTAAAGAAAGTGTTCTATTGGTACTTTAAAAAAATTGCTTTTCCCCTGTACCTTTCTTCCTGTACCCCCACTAGAACACACATCCATAGAACACATCCCCATAATTAAGAAGCTCTTTGAAGTGAAGTATACCAATACACGAATCATATCTGACAACATATGTTTAGCTCATTCTATTCTTGTAGTGCACTAGCTCTATTGAGAGGAGGGAGCAATCATGATTGGCCAATGCCTTGATTTGAGTTCTGTTTTTAGTTTTGTTGTTTTTTTCTTTTACATTTTTGTATATGAAATTCTCTTGGTTCTTCTGACTTCATTTTTCATCAGTTCATATGTTTTCCTAAATTTTTCTTAGTTCTTCACATTCTCTGTGCCTTGTCATAATGTATTCAACCGTTCTTCACTTGACAGAAATCCTTCTTGTATCCAGGTTCTTACTACCACCCTCCACCCCCCCCCCCAAAAAAAAGAAAAGCTGCTGTAATTCTTATATTTGGGATATTTTCCTCTATCTTTGAAGGAGTTAAATTTCCAGCAATGGTCAAAGGGTAGGAAGAATTGAATCATTTTTCTAACTTATTTCCAAATGGCTTTCGAGAACTGTTTCAACAATTCAATTTCACAAACAATGTATCAGTCAGTCATCTAGCATTTATTAAGTGCCTACTACATGCCAGGTATTGTTCTGATTGGCTCCAAGGATACAAAGAAAAGCAAAAAGGAGTCCTTGCCCTGATGGAACTTGTTGTCTGGTTTACCAGTGTGTCTGTATTCCTAAAGCTCTTTCATCATAGATTATTTCCATCTGTGATAATTCCTGGATATTAGGTAAAATGCCAGTTATTTTATATTGCATTTCTTTTGTTATTAGTGACATGAAGTGATTTCATATGTTCTTTCTTAATTTGCATTTCATCTTCTGAAAATAGTCATATTGTATGAATTATCACTTATTTATTGGGAAGTGACTTCTATTAATTGGGGCTATTTTCTATCTTGAACATCACACCTTTTCAGATATATTTGATATGAAGATTTTCTCCCCTTAATTGATAGTTAACTCTTGTTAGTCTATTTGCATTGAATTAGTTTGTGCCAATACCTTTATAGTTTCATGTAATCAAAGTTGTCCTTTTAAAAAAAGCTCTCCATCTATTGTTTGGTTATAAATTCTTCCCTAAACCATGAATCTAAAGCATATTTTTTTTCTGTACAATAGAATATAACATTTTTGGACTGGTATTTCTATAAAATAATTTTAAAAGGAATGAAAAACAAAAATGGTTTAATTGAACTTTTCATTATTAGACAGGCTTTGTGTATTATCTCATTTCAAAAATATTTGGTGAACAACTCCTTGGTTCATTGGTCTCTGAGTCACATGGTTATTTGCTGGTATTAACCTGGAAAACAGATTTTGATGTTTTTGTTCCTTTGGTCAGATCAATTAATCTTGCTGACTTTTGTGTTTTAATTTAGTAAAATTTCTGAGTAGTTCACAGGTGTTGTTTAAGTTGAATATTCAACATGACTGATTTTTAGCTCTTAAATATCTGAGGTATGTCATAATTCAAAGCAGGAAGTACTGTTTTACTTAAAATATAATAAAAATATAAAAAATAAATAATATAGGAATACTATTTTCTTTGCCTTTGCCCAGTGAATTCCTGATAACATTGATTAACTTAAGATGAAGAAAGTGTCATAACCTAGCATTCTACTGAGGAAAACTAAACATATGAAGAATTCTTTTTATATTTCACAAATATTTCATTTCTTTTTAATTTTGGGAAGCAGAATTGTTGAGTTCCCATAAGTGCCACTTGAAAATTGTATATTTTAGCAGTGGAGTCAAAGACGTAAAGCACTCACAAAAAATGAACCCAAATGTTTTTAAATGTCAGAATATTCCTTACGTTCCATTGTCAAGGTGAGATGCCGTGATAAGATTTTTTTGACAAAATGTTATATAGTCTCAATATAATATGCACCAATTTAAAAATAATCATTATTAATTATATTTGCAGCCTGAAAGGTTATGTGTTAAAAAGGAACAACTTTGGACTCAGGAGGGCCTGGGTTCATGTCTTGACTCTGACCCATACATAGCTATTTGACTATGAGCAAGTAAATCACTTAACTTCTGGGTTCCCTAGGCAGCTCTCAAAGACTATAAGTTACAGATCTTCTGCTTATCTGCATCTTTTTCACCCTGGGTACTCCCCACACAAATGAAACCACAGATCCAGAGCAAACAAAGACAATATTCTTGACTTATTTTTTTAAACTTGTTTTAACTTATTTTTATTTTTAATTAGTTTTTATGTAAGGAGACTAAACAATTATGTGATTTATGCATTTAGAACATATAAAATTCTCAACGCGGAAGTGACTAAAGACACCATCTTTTTAATTCTTAGAATATTTATATTCAAATTTATAATTTTGCATGTTAGTTTGATGTGTCAAAGTACTTATGATTCAGTGGCATCTCTTTCTTTCTTTTTTTTATATGTCAGTTAAAAAACATTTATTAAATTCCTACTATATGCTAAGTACAATGCTACCCACTTATTGTTGTTGTCTGGGGATACAAAGAAAGACAAAAAAACCCGTCCTCAAGTTGAAACATGGGGGAGATAGCAAGCAAACAAATAAGTACAAACACGCTATATATAGGATAATAGGAAACACTTAACAGAAGGAAGGCACAAGAATGAAGAGGGATTGGAAAGGCTTCTTGTATAGAAGGTGGGATTTGAAGTGGGATTTGGAGGAAGCCAGGAGGCAGAGCTGAGGAGGGAGAGTGTTACAGGCAGGAGGGATGGTCAGAGAAAAATGAATAGAGCCAAGGGCTGGAGTATCTCGCTTGGGGAACAGGCAGAAGGTCAGTGTCACGTCTCACTCTTCAGTTTATCATCGGTAGAAGGGTAAGACACCCTACGAAAGCATGTTTAGTGGACACGTCCTGAACTTATGTAACAACAATTGGGATTACATTGTTTTGTTCGTAAAAGGATTTGCCATAGCATTCCTTTCAATAGTGGATTTTGCTAGTCAATTTATTAACTATTTTGCAGAAGGCTGAACAAGAGTTAGGGAGTTTGGGAAGCAAAATGAAGGTTAAACATTAGGAAACTGTTTATAAGAAGACTCATCATAAATGAAAGTATAACTCTCTCGGAAATTACAAGGTAAGTATGCAATAAAGTATTGTTTTATTTACTTTTTACTTTTGAAATATATTTTTTACATAATAGAAGGTTCATCTTTTTTTTTTCTTTTGAGTTAAGCTTTTTATTTAATGTTACAAAAAATATTTAGTCAAACAGACCGAAACCCATGTCATCATCGGACTCCTTGGATTCTTCTTTTTTTGCTTCCTCTTTCTTCTTCTTAGTTGGGTCAGCTGTGCTAGCAGGAGCCGCCCCTCCAGCAGGGGCAGCACCACCAGCTGCTGGGGCAGGTCCACCAACTCCTACATTGCAGATGAGACTTGCATTGCTGACATTGGACAGGGCCTTTGCAAGTAATACTGGCCAGAATGGTTCAACATTTACACCTGCTGCTTTAATGAGGGCATTGATTTTATCCTCTGTGACTGTAACGTCATCGTCGTGAAGGATGAGGGCAGAGTAGATGCAAGCAAGCTCAGAGACGGCCATTTCAGCAGAAGGATGAGGAGAGACTTGTTTGTAGTGGTGCTAGTCGCCAGATGAAGTGAGGGGTCACCCCAACGTGGCCTTAGCTTCCGAAGAAGAACCAAGCACTTACAGACAAATGAAGAGAAAAGTAGAAGGTTCATCTTGTAAAATATTATGGAGAAGTTTACTCTTTGAAAGAAATGTCACCCCCAGCTCTGTAGCATTTTAACACTCTCTTCTACCATTAAGCTAACTGACCTATGATAACTGCCTTCTAGCCATGCTATTTGCACCTGTTCTCGTTACTAGATTGGTTGATTTGGAATGACTTAAATGCCTTGAATCTCATTACCTCTGAGCTTTTCTGAACTCATGAATTATGGCTATTATATTCTGTTTTATAATATTCACCCCTGAGTGCTTCATATAGTATTCTTCCTCATGTGAATTCTAATAAATTGATAAATTAACTGACAATTTTTCTCCATTTTTATGAAGGGAGAAATAAGATGAAATGGATTTAAGATATACCTGGAAGGATTTAGATAAGACATAAGGAAAACTTTGAAACTCAAAGATATATCAGCAATTGAAATAATTTTCTATGAAAATTAGGATTGCTTTCATTGAAGCTGTTCAAAAGAAGGAATGAGATTCAAGATAGTTTATTTGTGTATTGACTATATAGAATAAATGAAGCTTGATAAATAGAGAAAAAAGGTTTGTTTTTTTTTAAAACATCTTTATTTAAATTAGTAAGATTGCAATTTTTGTAGCTAGTGGAATCTACTGTGTTCTGTGGACACTTTGAGAGAAATGAAGAGAGGCCTCCATCCAACATGTTGGACAGACCCTCATTGGGTTACTTAGGAAAAACAATATGGACAAGAACTGCATAAGAGGGGCAGGTATGGATTCCATGTAATCTGTATCATCAGAGGGAACTTCTATATTGATGATATTACAGATGCATTTTAGTAGAGTATTTGAATAGTTGCATTGTCTTTATTCCTATTTTGCAGGTTTGTGAGAATGATCACCATGGGCATGGCCATTTTCCTTTTACCAATGTGACAAACTTGTAGACTCACTCTTAAAGGTTAAATGTAAAGTTCTTTATATCATGAGTGTTAGGAATTCTGTGGGTCATAGCAGGTACCCAGACCTATACTCTCTCTAGTGTGGTCCTTGGCGAAAAGGGGTTAAATCACACCCCCACTGAAATCAGGGAAATTTAAGCAACTAGTATCAAATAGAGAGCTTGAGCCTAGAAGAAAAAACTCTTATGAACCTAGCTTTATAAGCACTTTCAAAAAGCCCTTTGATTTCATTACCCATTAACATCAATATTCACTTCACTAAAACAGATCACAACCCCTCCATAGTTAATAGTTGCATGAGTTGCTGTAGTATGGTGTAGTGGATAAAGTACCATAGTTGGAGCTAAAATAACTTATTTTGATTTTTACCTAACTAGATGTGATTATGGACAAGTCACTTAACAGTTCTGAGATTCAGTTTTCTCATCTTTAAAATGAGAGTAGTGACACTTGAAATATCTACCTCACAGGGAATTAGTGAAGAAAGTTCTTTGGAAATTTTAAACCTACATAAATGTGAGTTTTCACTGTCATCATAACCTAGCATTCAATTTTTTGCTGATGAACCTAAAGAGAATCATATAAATGTATACCACTGGCAGCAGGGTTTGACATTTGGTGTTGGTGGGGCTAGCCATACTTTTGTTTTCTGCGTGCACACAAGTGAGATAAATAGACAAAGTAAACAGCTGGGAAACTGGTTGGGCTTCTCAAGCCTTTTTCACCTTAAAGAAGCCTAATCCTTTATGGGATTTATCACACATATACCACTCTGTAAGACCAGAATACCATTTTAGTAATGGTGAATACCTTGATGAAAGTGGCTCACACTTTCTTTTCTGTAATGGACACCTCCCTCTCCACTCCTGTTGCCAAAACAACTCAACTCTTCCTTCATCTGTCTGGTTTTCTGATATCCTGGACTTTGTTCGCATCCCTATTTCAGGGTATCTTTGTGCCTTTGTATTGGCAATGTTTCAGTTAAAGTGGAGAAGATATAAGGGGAACATGATGGTTGTCTTCAAGTATTTGGAGATCCTTCATTTTGAGAGGAATTAGACAACTTCTCCTTGGCCTCAGAGTGCGGCACCATGAACAATAGTGGAAGCTGAAGAGACATATGCTTGTCACAAGGAAAAGCTCACTAAAAATTAGAGCTATCCAAAAGTGGAATGGACTGCCTTCTGAGGTAGTTTGTTCTTCCCTAGAATTTTTCAGACAAACGCTAGCTGACTGTGTCTTGGATATTGTAAAATGAGTTCTTGTTTAGATATAGATTAGACTAGATGGCTTTTATATTCTCTTCCAACTCTCAGATTCTGTGATTCCGAATCTCAGTTCTTAAGTAATCAGTACTCAGGCATGGGCCCTGCTAGCATCACACTGAAGGTCAGATGTCCTGTCTTAATTGAAGAATGAGCCTCTGAAGTCATAAATATTTATATTTCAATTCCCCTATTCCTTAATGCAGATCTTAAAATTACATTAAAAAGATTAACAAATTCCGTGTTTTTTGGAAAATATGCTTGTCTGATGAGCCTGTTTTGGATTATTTTAATCTTCTACACATCCATATCTCAACCTGGAAAAACATTTGAAAACCAAATTTAATTGAATTATGTGATTGAATGTATAGTTGACTTTAATTTTCTTCTTTCCTGAGTGCGATCTGACCTGAGTGTCAGGGAGAACTAACTTAATTTGTGTTTGAGATTTTGTGTTTGGTCAAATGGATTTGCCCTAAAATTGAAACATAGTCATGAATAATTCACAAATATTAATATGTAATGCTGAATTATAAAATTGACTTATAATCTTCAATATATTAAGCATATGTCTTCTCTAAATTATCACTTAAGTTTATTAGCAAACAAATTAGTCAGAGAAAGCTATTCTTTCCTTTTATTCTTTGCTCAGATATTTTGATGGCTCATCACCTCATTGATGGAACTACTCCCGTCATTAATGAAGATAGCAATCCATTCCTTCCCCTCTCATCCTATGTGACTCTTATCCATGTTCTCTTTTAAGTCTTTCATAAAGTGTCAGCTCCGGTGTGCTTTAGAGCCTTATTAATCCATTTTTGTGTCTCTTTGGTATTTTCTCTTAGTAAATCAAGTTCCTAATCACTTTCTTCATTATTAAACATTAATCATTTCTTTTATAGGTAGAAAATGAATAATTTCTTTATTTTCAGTACTTGTCTGATGTAATAGTAGTAATATCTGACATTTATGTAGCACTTTTAAGGTTTACAATATACAGTATGTAAATATAAATCAACCATGTTTGTCTGTTGAATTTCATGAGTTACTGGCAAGATTAGTGCCTCTCCACTTTAACTACACATAAAAAAATTAGAGGAAGTGTTAATACGTTGAAAATAAATAACAAAACTGTGGTTAATTTGAGAATGAGAATTTTGAGAAAATCTTCACCTCCCCCACCCAAATCCTATAAAACACTAGGAGAAAAGGAAAACTTGTTCTTAAATAGCATGACTTCAGATACTGATTTTCAAAACCCCCTTTGGCCTAACTTACCTATATTCCTGTTACAAATTCTAATAGGACATCTGCAAACACCATATGACAAAATAACAAATCAGCAAGTATTCAGCAGAAGCAGTTTGGATAATCTTGTTAGTGTTGATTACATTTTGTTCAGAGCATTCTGGGATTAGGTAAATATATTTGTCTTTCCTAATATTATGCTTATGTATTCCATCTTACAGTAGCAGTATTTAAACCTATTAGGTTTTTCCTCATCTCACAGTAGCAGTCTCTGAGAGCTTCTTTATTTGTTTAGGGACCCTATAATACTCTTAGTAAAGATTCCACTTCCTCTCTGTACTATTATTAGAATGTTTTCTCAAGTGTGCCTCATGGAGGAATAAAGGAAAATTTAAACAACCTAAACTTTAAAAGCTAAAAACAAAAACCAAATAATGTAGAATCAAACCATCTGGATGGTGGGAAAAAGCCCAGCCATAGTACTTCCAAATTGTCCTCAGCTATATACTTTATAAATCAGGATCTTCCATGTGATACTGACATGTGGAGAACAGCTATGTTGCTTTCAGATGATATTAATAACAATGGGAAATAAAAATATATAACTTGAATGATGACCTATGTATTTAAATCATGTTATAGGTACAGGGTTTCAGAATACACTTCAATGTTGCTTTGTTTTTAGAGGAAATTGCCTCTCCTTCTTAGAAAGAGGGAAAGAAATGATTTTTTAAAAGTTGTCAAATCCTTTTAAACCCTGTTATATTTATTTATGCTGCCCATATCCCAAGATAAGTTAGAAACAATGAGTGAAAGCAAACCTAGTGCCAGAGAAGTTACTCAGGGAGGCTCTTGTCATCAGGGGGTCTCAGTGAGAGCCATAAGATAGAAGTGGAGAAGGACATAATTTAGGATAAAAGCAAGTTTGTTACCTTTAGAACAAGCCTTTCAGAGAACACTTTGGAAGAGGTAGTTAGCTTTAGAGTGGGGCTATTAGAAGCTAGTGGTTCAGGGGGATGGGAAAATAAGGGAGCGGTCATTGGGAATAGAGAATGAGAGTTTAAGAATGACAACCAAGGGTTCAGAATCACTGCAACTGGAGGGGTATGACCAGGTGGGAATTAATTAATCATTGATAATCTAATATTGTGTCAGAGAAGTTGGTCTAAAATAAATAGGAAGCTATAAGGAATGAAATTTTAGAGTCTCAAGAAGAAAATACTGTAAAAGTCTACAACAGAGAACAAAAGAAAACCTAGAAGGAAGCATAGAAAAGCTGAGTGGCTTTGAAAACAATGTGTAGTATTTATTATGTAGGTTTTCTTGAAATGATAATTCATTTTATATTGAATCCACTCTTATGTTCTGTTGTGTACGTGGAAATGTTTTTTTTTCCTCATTTTGTATTTAAGTTTAAAATGAATAAAAACTTTACAAAAAAAAAAAAAGAAAATATTGTGATATAGAGGAAAGGGAGAGCTGCCTAAAGAGAATCATTGATACTTAGAAAACTCACTGACCAATTCAGATTTTAAAAGATGTACAGAAAATGCAAGCGAGGGCCATCACCCACAAATGTACCACTTCCATGTACTTCAGCTCTGAAATTTCCTTATCTGATCACAATCTGTTGTCATTCCACCCGTCCCTCTACTATCAACCCAAAAATCTGTTCTTCATCCTCACATAGATATCCATTATGCCAACCAGAAATTCTTTC